ATATTTAAATGTATAAGATAGAAAATGATATCACAGAGTTTTATTGGATCATTGAACAGAACTGTTTGCAGTATCATTGTTGGAATGTCCACTCTACAAGCTTTAATTTTGTGACTTGAACAATTATTTCTAAGATGGCAATATGTAATCCATTAACTAGTGATTTCCTACTGTGCATTTTTTTCTTCTGTAAATCTGTATAACTTGTACCCCTTCACTGTTTTTCTTTCTTTCTTTTCTTTTCTCCTTAAATTAAAAAAAAATGAATAAAAAAAAAGAAAAATGCTGGGGTTGGGCTGGGGATTTTGCTTAGCAGCATAAGCACCTGCCTTGCAGGCGCATGGTTGTGAGTTCGATCTCCAGTACCAAAAAAGAAAAAAAAGCGCGAGGGTTACTGGCATGCACCACTATACCCAGCATAAAGAGTGCTTTTATTTTTTATTTATTTATTTTTGGTACCGGGGTCGAATTCACAATTCACAACTCACCAGGCAGGCAATTGTGCCAATGAGCTAAATCCCCAGCCCTAAAAGGTACTTTTAGACAAAAGTTCTTTTTAAATGACTATATATCTAGAAAATAAAAAAGAATAAATTACAAAATTTCCACACCAAGAACTTCACAAAGATGGGCTGGGTTGCAGCTCAGTGGTGGAACATGTGTTTAGTATGTGTGAAGCCCTACTCAATCCCTAGCACCAACTAAAATGAAATAAAGATATATATCAATATATTTGCATCTTTCTACCTATCTGCACACACATAAACCCCTAGGAATACGTTTAACAAGTACAGAACCCATATGAAGAAAACTATGGAACACAAAAGAAGACCATGGAAAGACAAACCTTCTGAATAAGAAGACAACACATAAAATAACCTATTAAGATGTCAATTTTCCCTAGTTTATTAATATGACATCTTCATAATAGACACCGGACTAAACCAAGGTGCACTGAGGCAGCCAAAATTGAAGCAATGTGCAAGGACTTCATTGCCAACCAGGTGTGGTTGAGCCAAGGTCAAAAAGACCACTGGCACTAGCAAGGGGTGAGGTCATGATTTTATAGAGGAGTTTAGGTAGGAGAGGGAGGTACTGCTGAAGGGGATGCAAAATTTTGCGTCTCTGAATTTGGGGTCTGAGGCTAGACAGGGCAGTGTTGGGTACAGGGGATGCTGGCAGGCACAGTATGTCTCTTGTGGTTTTTCGTGGAACCAGCTCTTTGCAGGTTGAGCTGTGTAGGGACAGCTACTGGCTTCCTGTTGAACGTCATGCCACACTAGGTGCGAATAACAGATCTGTTTGGGGGAGTTTTTTCTCTCCCAGTTGGGTGGCGGTCTCATTCAGAGACCCAATAAAATACCAGCAAGATTTTTTTGTGTGTAGTATTAAGGACTGAACCCAGGGACTCACACATGCTAGATGAACACTCTACTACTAAACTACTTCCCCAGCCTTCCTAATATATTTATTTATTTCTTATTCTGATACAGGGTCTTGCTAAATTGCCCAGACTAGCCTGAAATTTGAGATCCTCCTGCCTCAGCTTCCTGAGCAGCAGAGATTGTAAGTATGAACAACTGTACCAGGACTAGCAGGTTACTTTCTCTTTCTCTCTCTCTCTCTTTCCTTTTTTTCTTTTCATCTTTTTTTTTTTTCTCCTTTTTTGACACAGGGTCTCACGATACAGTTCAGGCTGGTCTTTGAGCTCACTTTGTAGCCTAGGCTGGCCTCAAACTTGCAACGATTTTCCTCCTTCAGCCTCCTGAGTGCTGGGATTAAGGCCTGCACCATCATGCCCAGCTAGCAGGTTACTTTAAAATCAACATGAATTGAACCTAAAATTTTATGGGAGAATAAACAAGAATGGCCAATTAAACTGAGTATGATAAACCAAAAAGAAAAAAAGACAGACTAAAACATTCAATTATACATACTATGTTTCTTAGTAATTACACCTATGTAGCCAGGTACAGGCAGGAGGATTGCTTGAGCCTAAGAGTTTGAAATCAGCATGAACAACATAGTAAGACTGTCTAAAAAGAAAAACAAAATTTTTAAAAGTAAAACTAAAATTTTACACACTGGAAAATTATGCTAGATTTTCACATTCAACCTCATACTAGGATAAGTTCCATATGGCTCAAAAAGTTAAGTATAAAAATAAACACAAAGCCATAAAAGTTCTAAAAGAAATTAGGGAAGACTTTATGAACTCAGAGTGGGAAAGCCCTTTATTTTTAAAATTTTTTTCCAGTACTGGGGATTGAACTCTCAACTTCATGCTTGATAGGCAGGTGCTTATGGCACAGGGCTAAACTCCTGGCCCATAATCTTCACTCAAACTATAGAAGGCATAAAAGAAAATATTGGTACATTTGATTACAAAAAAGATGGAACTCTCATGGGTAAAAGACTACTACATGCAAAAGTGACAAAACATAAAAGTGTATCAGAGAAGAAATCTTTTTTTTCGCGTGGGCAATACCATGAACTGAACCCAGGGCTTTGACACAAAGCAACATTTTCAGCCCTTTTTTATTTTGAAACTGTATGTGAATCCTACTTAAGCCCTTTCTAAATCAGTAAGTTGAGTGTCCAGATTGGGCTTAAATTTTCAATCTTCCTGCTTCAGCCTTAGAAAGTGCTGGAATTATAGGCATATACAAGCAGCACTATGCCCAGATGAGAAGATAATCTTATAATATACTCTAAGCTTTTAGGGAATTGTAAGAAAAAGAATAACTTAAAGAAAACAGACAAAAACAGCTTACCAAGTCAAACCAAGCCAAATAAAAAAAAAATCGCCTCTAAACCTTTTAAAAGAGTGCTCAATTTTACTCATAAAAATAAACAAAAAACTATATTTTGGGGTGAGGTTCTGGGTTTAATGAGTGTCAGGCTAGCATATGTGAGGCCCTGAGTTCAAACCTCAGTACTACAGAGAAAACAAAACAATAACATTGCTATGGGAAAACAAGAACAATGCTATGGGAAAACAGTCAATTGCTGTTCTTTCAATTACAGGCATTTAGCCATTATTGGCCAGAAAATAAACAGATACAAACCTTGTCTCAAAATAAAAATAAGTAAGCCAGGATAATGCCTGTAATTCTAGCACTCTAGCAAGGCAGGAAGATTAAGTTCAAGCCCAGCCTGGGCAACTTAGTGAGACTATGTCTGAAAAGAAAAAAATAAAAGGGCTGAGATACAGTTCAATGTGAAGGCCCTGAATTCAATTCCCAGTACAAAAAACAAAACAAAACAAACAAAAAAAAAACCACAGCTATACAGATATGCATTAAAAAATACAAATACTTAGAAACTGGAAGGATAAGCTACTTCTAAGTGAAAAGCTTTTCTATTTTCTGTTGCAATTGCTTACTGGTTAATGGCTCGAATACAGTGATGATGGCAGGAATGGAAAGGAATAGATGTAAATAGCAAGACTGGGAAATAAACCTGTGGGATCTGACAGCTGACTGGCTGTGAAAAGCTGGTGAAAGAGAAACATGTAAAGTGTAGGGACGCAGTGGTATCACTGACAGGAATGGGGAATCTGGAGGAAGAACTGGTTTAGAGAAAAAGCAATGGGTTCAGTTGTAAGTGCATCTGAGGTGAGTGGGAAAGTGGGTTAGGATGGCAAGAAGGCTGCTGGAAATGCTGGTCAGAAGGGGAGTTCGACTTGAAGACAGAGTGCAGGGGACACTTGCAAATGGCAAGGAGGGTACTGAAAGGGCTGAAGGGTCTTGGTGGGCACACTGGCTGAGATGAGAACCTAGAGGACTGCCCATGACTGTGAGCAGAATGGGGAAGAGAAACCAGTGTCACAGGGAATGCTGGGGAGATTAGAAGAGCATGTAACACATCAGCCAGTAGTGGGCAGTCTCAAGAAGATGCAGCGAAGGGCCAAGGGGTGAGAGCCACAGTAGCAATGTGTGTTATCTCTAATTGTCACACACAGCAAGCAGTCATGTAAATAGTATTACTGTACCATTTTACAAAAAAGAGCATTAACTGAGCTATGTGACTCCAACGCCTACAACATAACTTTGGGAGATCAGAATTCTAACACTAATTTTACCACTACATTAGCTCTATGTCCATGGGCAAGCAACGGTGCCTTTCTAAGCTTACCTCACTTGTCAGCAAATTGAAAGAATTCACATAATCATCTTCAGTTCTTAGTGTCTGATTAAAGTAGAATGAAAGAAATAAAAGTAGAAAGAAATATATACACAAGAGGAAATGAATTAAAAATTTAACCCATATTCAGAAGGATAAACTATACCTTTTTTTTTTTTTTATGAGTAGAAATATTTATTGAGAGAAAGAAAGCTTCTGTCTGAGAGACAGAGACAGAAGGGGTCCCAAGTAGGTTGCCCTTTTTTTTTTTTTTAAACTATACCTCTTTAAGTGATTAAGACATCATTAAAAGAATTAATGAGCTGGACATGGTAATCCCAGCACTCTGGGAAGCTGAGGTAGGAAGTTCCAAAATTCAAGCTCAACTTGGACAACTCAGCAATTTAGTGAGACCCTATCTCAAAAAAAAAAAAAAAAAAAAAGATAAATAAATAAAATTTAACGAGATGTGAACAGGAAGAATTGGCCAAGAAGATGACAATGCTGAATGTTCTAAATTCTGTCTGTCTGTTGCTGAGACAGAGTCTCACTATGTTGCCCAGTCTGGTCTTGAACTTGTGGGCTCAAGTGGTCCTCTTCCCTCAGCCTCCACAGTAACTGACTACAGGTATGTGCCACACTAAATGCTTTATGCAGTGAATTTTCAAGCAATAAATCTATTCTATGATATATGAAATCAACAGCTGTGAAATCCTACTTATATATTTCTTCAAGTGACATACAATAAGAATTAAAAATGTTCACACCTGGGCTGGAGATACAGCTCTATGTTAGAATATGTGTTTAGAACCAGGTTAGAACCAGGTCCTGGTTTCAATGCCAGAATTTTTAAAAAAAAATAAAGTTTTTCCTACCTGGAAATGTATAAATGCTGCTCTTATTAAATCAGTTGAATGACATAAAAAGGGGGAAGATTCCAAGGCAAACAAAGTTCACGTACTGAGGATTGTCCTGCAGAAAGAGAAAATAGCTATTTATAATGCACTTTTGTAATAAGCAAACATCTGGAAAGGTACATAAAATAATTATTTAAATTACATGGAAGGCTGTATCCTGTAGGATATCTATAGGTACTTTTTTCTAGCACTTAGTTGGGAAAAAAAATAGGTAATCTGAGCTGGTACCACAGCACAGGCTAGAATTTCAGCACTACTGGAAGCTGAGGCAAGAAAATTCAAATATGAACCCCACCTGGGAAATGCAGTGACCTAGCAGCTGGTTCTGTAGGTCAGTTCGGAGGTCCTGGGTTCAACCCTACTAGTACCATTGGAAACACAGGAGCTGAGTAAATTACTCTCTTCCCTCCATTGTAAACACCACCCTAATTGTTACCCATTGTCCTAAAAGAGGTACAAAATAAAATAGCAAAAGCCTAGGTCACCATGCCCTAAGTAGCAGAACACTGACACCCAAGAGAGGAAGTGGGAGGCACCTCATGAGAGGTGGGTGACCCTTTAAAAAATACAAGGAAACTTGAATTATAAAAGCTCTTTTCCCTTTCCCCTTTTGTCTGTTCCTGCCGCTACAGTCCCATGACTTCAATAAACATAGCTGCTCACTACATATGTGGGGAGCACACCTGGCATTTGTTTCCTAGTGGTACACAAGAACACAGACTATTTTTGGCCTATTCAACTGTAACTGGTGAGCCAGTCAGGTGTACCTTACCAACCTTCGGAGACCTTCCTGGACACTGAGCCAAGGGACGTTAATACACAGCAACCCAGAGACCTTGCCAGATATTACAGGCAGCTGCAGCCCAGAGACCTTTGGAGACCTCAACAGAAGTGGACAACCAGACAACCCAGCCAGCAAGGAAAGTAATTCCCCACTCAGTCAGGAGACTGTCTTTTCCCCTTTCTGGGAAAAGAACGGATTCCCTGAGGAGAAGCAGAGCAATCACCTCGAGGAAAAGATTAGATTGTGGGACAAAAGACTTCTGTCCTTATGGGGGACATATGGGACCCTGCTGATCAGTTGGGCTTACGTTATGCTGTTGACACATACAGTGGAAAGTCTGTCTTGGAGGGTGTGGCACCTCAGCAGGGGTGGGCATAAGCCGAGCAGAGCAGGGAGAAGGCAGGGATTGACAAATGCTTTGGTCTGGCCCAGCCACCCAAGTAGGGGACCAGGAGACACGGACCTGGCCTACCTGGACTGTCACTTTTCTCTGTGGAGTACTTGTTATCCTGCCCTGGACTTGGACAACTCTTTGCTTAGCACCAAGTGTGTTTGTGCTTCCCTGGGGATCAGAGACTCATGTGGAATGCTTCTTTTCCATAGGTTTTAGTAGTCTTCCTTTTTTTCCCCCTCTCCTTTAGGGTTTTAGCCGTCTGAGTGTTCCCTTTGTTTTAGATAATTCAAAAAACAGGGTTAAATCAGGAGAATCACCAAGAGTTTGAGGCCAGTTCAGTTCAAGGCCAGTCTAAACTACATAGTGAGACCATCTTAAAAAAACCCAAAAAAACAAAAAAAAAACCCCCCAGAGTTAAAGGTACAGTGTCGTCCTACATGAGAAGAGGAAACTTTGTCCCTTTTAAGCCTCCCACCACCATTTCTGTAAGCAGCGGCAGTGGCAGAAGACAGCAGCCAAACAGGCTGACTTATCTCTGGGTCTCAAAGAGCTATTGCTTCCTGGGGTGGTTTGCTGATACTGGTTTGCGCTCCCTTTTATTCAGTTTCCTTTCACTATGATAACTGTGGCTTTGTTTATGCTGCTGTATGAAAGGTTTAGGAATTCAGCCTCACCAGGCTTAGACTAACCAGAACAGCCCTATCAAGTTCCCACTGATGGGGACTACTGACCCAGGGACAAGCCTGCTAGAATCCTAGATCCTAATCTTTACTCGTATTTACAGATGGGGATGATCTCATGTATTCCTTCTGAGACCCTGACCAATGACTTCTTAATCACTGGAACAAGTTCCATAGTAAGACTGTCAAAGAGATCATCTTATATTCCTGTGAAATAACAAATGGCCTGGATATCCACTTGGGAAAATGAAACATAGCCACCCTTTGGCATTGAAATATAAAGTCACGTTTCAGTTATACCTTTCCTGTAAGGAACAAAACAAATGTTCAAAACTGCCTTGTATGCAAGCCTTTATAGCCCTCAACCAGCAGCCCGATCTGTGCCTCAGCAGTCACCATTTCTCAGGAGCTGATGCTGCAGGACTGTTCCTTGCCAGGACGTCCTCCTTTCCACAGCAACCTGCTCAGTCAGTGCCCTCAGGACTTAAAGGCATCTCCTGAGCACACTCCATTCTTGGTCTGGGTCTACATACTGTAGAGCCTTAGACCCAGGGAATTCAACATCTAAACTCACTGCTGCTCTGTGCCTTCAAGAAGTGACAAGCTCTGAGGTACTTATGGACATCCATCCATGCACGGGAAAACAGGGGAGATTTCCTGAGGATGCTGGTAAGTTTGATGGTACTTTCTATACTCTAACAATGGCTTTTCATCTGACCTGGCAAAATGTCCAATTCATCTTCATTTCTTGCTGGATTATAAAGGCTGCAAAGCAGGCCAATGATGAAGCCTTCGCAGCTTCACTCTGATCATCAGTCAGCTGCTACATTTTTTGGGTCTCAAGAGGAGCCTAAGTGGGATTATAACACAGGGGACAGAGAAGCTACATGAAAGTTATACATCAAGGCTATTTTAGCTGGTATGCAACAAAGGAAGCCCAATACCATGAATTACAATAAGCTTAGGTCTATTAGGACCCCAATGAGAACCCAGTTGCTTTTTAGCTTCAGCTTCAAGAAGCCCTCCATAAATATACTAACTTAGACACTGATTCCAGAGAAGGTCAGAATATCCTAAGGCAGTATTTTATTAGTCAGCTGCAGATATTAGGAAAAGGCTCCAAAAACCCCAACAAGAGCCCATAGTCCAAAATAAGCCAATTGGTTGATGAAGCTTATTCAGTGTTCAGTATCCATGATGAAGTAGAGGACAACAAGAACTGGAGAAGGAAAGGAGGTGGTTAAGGCCATGTCTGCCCTGTTTTGATAAGGCTTATGACAAAGCTCACAACTAGCGGAAAAATCAGAGGTAACCCGAAGAGCAACAGGAGCAAGTCAGAGTGCTTCAAGTGCACGCAAACAGGGCCCTGGGCACAGGAACAGCCCTCGTCGGACCTGTCCGAACAGGAAGGCCCTTGGCATAGAAAGAGACTGCCCAGTTCCCTGAGAGGGATGAGGTCACCCCTCACCAGGGTGCCAGGGAAGAAAGTCTAGACAATGAGTGGTGATGTGCCTGAGGCATCCTGCAAGGCTCCCAATCAAGAGCATCATAATTACTCCAGAGGAGCCTGGGTCTCTGGCGTGAGGGAGTGAGCAAATAAGTGACATTCCCCTGTAATACTGGCTCAACCATCCACTTCTAGCTTCTTACTGAGGTGAGATTTCATCCCATTCTAAAGCTGTTGTGGGCCTTGAGAGAGTTTACCAGACAGCTTTCTTTACCCCTACTCTGAACTGCTGTCTGGGAGATTTCTTTTTCCACTGCCTTTACAGGGATACTGGAGTGTCCCATACCAATAGCTGGGAGAGATACGCTACTCTTGCTACTCAAGGTCACCCTGATACTCAAACCTGTGTCTCAGTTTCTAGGGACTCAGCCTGACCTCTTGGAGCCCACCTTCTCTGCCAAGAGTAGATCCTCAACCACAGTATGATGGCACCCCAGGGAGGAGGGCTCTCAAGGCTACAACAATGCTCATTCAGCTAAAAGACATTATATCCTCACAGGAAACAGCATTTCCCTATTTAAGAAGCTAGATTGGGGTTAAAGCCCATTACTGATAAGTTTTTGGCCATGCCAGTCCCTGTGCAATACACCCATTTTACCAGTAGTCAAGCCATCAGGAGAATTCACCTAGGAGATCAGATCTCAGAAGATGCCATGAGTGCTATGGCACACAGGCTCATTGGGCCTAAAATCCATGTTACAACTCAGGTCTGTAAGGCGTCTCCTGTCTGTGCCCTTCAGAATTACAGACTCATCGTTCCCCTCTGCCTGAACAGGTTCAGAGGCAAGGGTCCTCCCTGGGAGAAAACTGACAAGGAGACTTCGCCCATATGCCTACATGTAAAGGATATGCACACCTCCTGGTATACACTGTTTCTGGGGAAACAGAGGCAACAGGGTCTAGAGTTGGCTGAAGTGCCCCTTAAAGAAGTAATCCCTGCGTTTGAATTGCCTAGATTTATTCAGAGTGATAACGGACAATTTCGTATCTCAAATCACACAGGGATTTATCAAGGCACTGGGAATTAATTATCATCTCCATACTGCATGGAGATCCTGATCATCAGGAAAGGTTGAGAGAGCCAACCAAACTCTCAAACCTTAACCAAGTTCTGTCAAGAAACTCACCATAAAGTGGCCAGATTGCCTTCCAACTGCCTTAATAAGGTTCGGGCAGCCTTCAAATCCAACTCATTTGACATGCTTTATGGAAGGCTTTTTTGGACATCTACTCATTGACACTGAAACCTTCCAACTCCCTCAACACATAACCCATCTAGGAATCTCCCTGGAATATGGAAATAAGAGTCTTCTATTCCCAGGGTCTTGCAATAATTGTTAACTGTCTAAAGTCCAGGTCCTAATCAAGACCTAGGAAGAGGCTGAACCCCAGAACCAACTTTTACCCAAATGGAAAGGCCCTTTCACAACCCCATTCGCCACTCCTTCTGCCATGAAATACAGGGAACAGATAGATAATTGGGTTCACCTCTCCAGGATAAAACTCAAACCATCTGTGACATCAGAAGACAAAGAAGGACCATAAACTTCATAAACCTGTAAACCAATAGATGACCTCATGTTCCTTTTCAGAAAAGAAAACACCAACCACTCTGGTGAACCAGATGAGTAAAACACTTTGCTCCCTTCTAAGTAAATAGTGCAAATATATTCACCACTGTCTTGTTTAT